ATGAACATCAGAGGTGAAGAAATCCAGATCCAACAGGAACCCAAATACTGAGAACTGCACAATGTTGGACCAATGAACATTAAACCAATAAAGTTCTCTGGGGTTTGACTGGATAAAGTTTGGGGGAAAGCTTGTAAAAGTGATGTGCTATGGAATGATTTGCCCTGCACACCCAGGCTGTGTGTGGATGAAATTATTTCTGTGTCACCTCCCGGCCAGAGCAACATCCTGGCCTGAAAATAAAGTAATGCCTTGACTTTCTAACATTAAAAATGTTGTGGAAGAGTTTTTGTCTTTCCCACAGTTTTGGTGACAATGGTGGCACCACAGGAATGAGGGAGCCCACGCACCTCATGTGTGTGCAGGGAAGGTTTCAGCTGCCCATGGGACAGAAAACAAACGAGATTTTGGCATGGCAAGGGTGTGACTTGCAGCCTGTGAGTTTTCCTCCTTCTCTGTCTCTGCACCAGGATTTCTGTGTTTACAAAGCTCCTTCCAAAGATCCATGCAGGCTGTGAAGCTCAGAATAAAACTGCTGGTGTGATAAACAACCTCCTCACCCCAGAAGTGCTGTTTAGTTCTTCTTCCCATGTAGCTGGGGATGTCCCAGGCTCCCTGCAGCCTCTTTCAGCCACTGTGCAGTCCTGAGCCTGCTCTCCTGCCAYGTGAAGAGGGGTTTGTACCCGAAATGCCGGGAGGCCTTGTCTGTCTCAAAGGAGAAGGTGGTGACGATGGTGTTGAGCAAGGGCACGTTCAGGAATGGTGGCGGCCGCCTCCAGAAAGGGGACAGGATGGCCCTGATGGCTCTGTGCACTTGTATCATCAGCCACATCTTCCAGTAGGGGATGTGTGAGCCCATCCTGAGCGAGGGGTCAGCGCTGGACAGCAGCTGGTGCCTGACCACGACCCCGTTCCTGCTCGGGGTGTCATCATAGCAGTAATAAACCTGTCCTGCCAGCAGCTCGGGCTGCAGCTGCAAGTGCCTGGCTGCCAGGACGTGCATCCACGCCACGTTCCCTGGGGAAAYAGGAGAGGGRCACAAASAGGMRTTAGGASRGGCTGGATTTCCCTGTTYAGCACAAAATGAGGGTGTTGGAGCRGCCAGCTCCAGCCCTGAGGAGCAGGGGGCACTGATGGTGGGCTCAGCCGTGCTGCACAGACACTGAGTGGTTAATCCAGGCCTCCAGAATCCTTCAAACCTTTGGTCTCCCTTCTGAGCGGACAATTAATGAGCCCTATGACCCTGGTTCCTGTGCAGAGGGAGGGCAGTGTTTTGCAGGATGGATGGCAGGCAGCACTCCGGGGTTTATCCCTGGCTCACTGTGAGCCTTGATTTATCTGGGCCTGAGTCTTCTCCAGCAGCATTTTCAAAATACTGCTATCTGCACTTTGGGAAAAGACATGTAAGTGTGCTGCACAGAACTCACTGAATGCCTGCATGATCCAGTGGTGGTTTACACCCCCCTGAAAGGCACCAAAACAAACCCTTCCTATAGGTTTTGTGAGTAATTTCTTGAGCTTGCTAGCACTGGTTATGTGGTACAGCCTTTTCTGTGAAGAATTTGATGAGTAGTGACAGTTTGATTTTTTTTTTTCTAATGAAGACCTATCTTTTCTTAGCAAAAACATTTTTTAAACACAGCCTGGATCTCTCTCTCTCTGGCCCCCCATATATCCCTGAAACACTTATCAGAAGAAAAAAAAGGAAAAAAAAAAACTTCTCAGGAAAACAACAGTAATAAGAAACTGCTTTGAAAATC